AAGCCACTCCCATCCGGTCACATGGGCAGAAAGCCACTCCCACAAAGGAGGCCACACCCACAGAGTAGGTTTGAACAATTTTTGAAACCCACCACTGGTCTGCCCCCAAGCTTATGGGAAAGGGTTTTATGTTATCACTAGCAGGTCTGTCTGTCTGCTTAATCTTCCAACTTCTTTTTAGGAGCTCAAAGGATATTTTCCATTTTTTTAAAAATCCTGTAAACTGTGAGTCTTCCAGGCCTGAAGATAGACATAGACCTGTCCGGCATCAATACAAGACTGCAGGTATTTTCCAATATTTTGTTAGTCAGGATTTGATTGTTGTTGCTATTGATGTATTTTTCTGAACTAAAATAATTTTGCAACTCTGAGACCAACCAGACCAAATAATAAACCCCACAGAAGACTAAAGATTACTTAATTTAGATTGACTGTAATAACATAATATTGCAAATCTGATTGTGCTACCTCTCTTTCTCTTTCTATAATCATGTGAATCTGAGATGTTTGCTCATGCTTTCTAGGTGTCCTGGGTTTAATCTATGTTTTTCTTCTTGACTCTGGGGTAACAGTTGCTGTTTCTTCCTGAAGGCCATCATCCTCTTTAATCTCTACAGACCTGAAAAACTGCAAATGTAGTTTAAGCATGTTTACTGCAACTGAGAAGGAACACGGCTGACTTCAGTAGGAATGGAATGAAACATCTCTGTTTGCTCGAATGTAAAATCTGCTACATATAATCTTTTCATGGTACACTGGACTATGGTATTCATTGTGGAATAATCTGCACCTGGTCAGATTCATGTCCTAACTCAGTGAACCAGGAAAAGATTTACCAGAAATTTTGATTCAGCTCTTTCTGTTTCCTTAGACTGTAACATAATCAAGCAAAGATGTCACAAATGTCTTCTCAGGAAAATATTCAAGAACTATTTTGGATATGATTTTGTATATATCTACACAAATGTTTGGGCTTTACTTTTTTTTGCATTTTAACTTGAGGTTGAGCTTCACTTTCAATTTCATTCTTTGCCTGCTGCATTCATTCTGAATACCAAAATACCTTGGCTGGTTGTTTTTTTTTAATCAATGTGGCCTTGGGAAACCATGAAGTGCAATGTTTGTGTTGTTATTGATTGTTATTGAACAAGATAGGTTTCAGTTGGAAAATGAAAGCATAGCAGCAGTGGAAGCTAGGACATATGTTATGAAATTTCTATTTATTCAAAACAGAGTTGGGGCACATCTTTGAAAGCCTCCCACCACCACCAATACACAAAACTTCAAAGAAATGAATTCTGGCATGACTAGCAAAGAATGTCAGCAAAGCCAATAGGGAACAGACTACAGGGATAGTGTAAGTCATTCAAGTACAAGGGTTTCAATTGGACTCCATTGGTCCATATGGTTGACAGCATACTCTGGAAAAGCTCCAGGAGGGGGGGGTGTTCAGATTTCAGTTGTCATTTTGATTGTTGAAGAAGCACCCGTGCAACATGCCATTTGCATATGCAAAACAGCTCATTTAATTGAACATTCACTAGGGAAAAATCCACCGATTGGATTGTTTCTGTGTCTGCTAAGTAGAATATTAGACACTGGTTGACCCACAATTAGGGTAAGTAAGAGAAAATCTCTTGCTGGGTTTCCTAAATGAGGAAATCATTCCTCATATACTGTAACATATACCGTTACAGTATAAATGTAATAACTTATTTGAGGCTAAAAGAATGCAATGTTTATCTATATTTACCTTCCTTCCAAATTAAACTCATCCAGGGAAGAATTTACATTGTATATTGTGATACATTCTTTTTCTTCTCTGTGGAAGAAAAAGATTATTTTAGTATTGAAAATGAACTGATTATATTATTACTGATTATTATGGATTGTATATGCACATCTATAATTCATCTTGATATTATCTTCACAAAGCAAGTCGCCAGTTAAGAACAGTTGAACCCTAACCCTAAACAATTGAATTTTCAAGGTAACAGCTTATAATATTTATTTATTTGATTTATATTACTACCTGTTTCAAATGCATGATTCTGGGTACTTTACAACAAATAAAATCTGCAAACAGATGGAAGTTTTGAAAGATATAAATAGCACAAATATAAATTAAATAACAGAATCCACAGCTGGTCTGAAAAACAATTTACCATTAACAGAACCATTGTATGGGTTCTACCTGTATCTGGCTACTTTCTCACCAGAGGCATTGTGCTGTGTACCCATGTTGCAATTGTATGAATAAATCCTATGTGTGGGTTTGTTTTAGTGGAGAACGGATGTGCCACACACAGTTATGCAGGCTGCTTCTCTGCTATTCAGCTCTATAAATAACAATTGTGCACATCTGTATCCTACCTTGTGGGCATATCTACATGTTTGTACACCTTTGAGTAGTTAAAATTGCACATGGGCCAGAACATTTATATGAGCTGCTGTGCATTGCTGTGTAAACAGCTGTGAGCAGTCATTGCATATTAACACTTTATAAGTAGATGTTTGTTGCCTGTTTTTGTATAATCTGTTACAAATGCTTGTTAAGGCAGACATTGTGGTTTGTGGACAGTTATAGATATATCTTTGTACCTTTTTATGCATTGTTGTGCATGTTTTTGCAAGCTGCTCTGAAGGGCATAGCTATGAAAACAACAGTAGTCTTGCATTTTCTGTTATTAGGTGAAGTTTGTATATTTATACTGTCAGCTACAGTACATAGCTGTGCCTTCTATGGACAATTGCAAATTTGAATTTGTGAATTTGAAAAACAAAAATCCAGTGTGTAGTGGAAAGCTATTCCCTGGGCCAGTGGCCAGGGTCATTAAACAATTTTAACTTGGGCTAAATGCTTTAAGCCCTTAACTGAAATAAAGATGCAATATAAATCAATGAACTAAATTATTAGCCAATTCTGTCCTTGATAAATTATTAGTCCTGCCGCTCATTATTAATGTTCTTAAAAAGTAGTTTGCTCTCTTGCTGGATATGATTATTTATTTTAATAAAGTGCTTAAATATTGTAATAAACAAAAAAACACTTATAAATCAGGGCTTAAAATAGGTGAACAAGATACAACATAAAAAATAAAAAGTATGTGTCATTAAACACTTTAATTCTATATATACTAATGCAAACATGGAAATGTGTTTGTATACATGTATGTATCTATGGGTATAAGTCTTCAGTCTATTGAGCCTATGCTGCCATACATGTATCTTTTCAATGCTGCAATATTACTGTTTTATTTATTGTGAGGGCATGGAGCGTTCATTTATGTTGTCCAGTGGTTAAATTCCATGTCACTAGGTATATAATTCAAGAGAACATTATCCTCAGAAAATTATTTTTTCCAGGACATATATACAGTAAATGGCATCAGGTTTCTCCGTATTGTGTTTATGTATGATTTAATTAGATGACAGGATAGGAGGAGACGTTTATGTTATAATGAATCTTTAGAGAGGTGGGTTCCTTCTGGTTTGGTCTGCTTCTCCTGAACTGGTAGTGCTTCCTTCCAACAGAGAGTGAACCGGTTCTCTGTTTTTGTTAAAATAAGGTCCTCCTCTTGGGTTATACGTACCTTTATTCAACCTTGTGGTTAAGAGGCTAATGGTTTCTCAAGGACTACCTGTACTGATACCCTTTTAGTCTAGTTCCTCTAGGAAGGATAAACAGCTTTTTTCTCTCTCACCTTGAGGAGACAACATTTCAAAATGTAGAAATGTCTTCTGAAGTACATTTATTTATTAAATTTATTTGCCACCCATTTTACTATCCAGAGTTTTAGGTTGGGGGTGGGGTTAGGGTTATCGTATGCATTTTTTTCTAAAC